GCAGAGGAGTCTGTGTGAGAAAGGAGAGGAAGAGGGGCCCTAGAAAGCAGAGATCTTCATAACTGCTCTACCTCAGAGGAGACATCATCCGTGAAGTCACTTTCTAAGTGCAAATTGAGCAGAAAGATAAAAGGATTAGATAACACCTATTCATAGGTTTGTGGGGCAATTCTTATGGAATCAGGCCCTTTGGAAATTATAATAATTAATATTCGCAACAAAGATTGCAGGTAGATATTATTTTTCAGCTATCTCAGATGAGGGAACAGAGATGTAAATAGCAAAAAGACAAAAACCTAGGCTAAAGTCAACAAGCAGAAAGTGGCAAACCCAGAACCTTTGCTCATCTCACTGTGTTGGAGCATCATGAATTCCATCTTGACCCTGAGGTAGCACAGAGTGGTCCCATTCTCTCCTTCACCCACAGCACCGTGACCACCAACACCTGGATTAGATCTTCATGACACCGTTTCCTTCCCTACCTTGGAAGGGCCATTCGTTCCCAGAATCAGCATTGGCTGCGAAGCTGCAGGTGGTGGAGGAAAGGCCCCGCCTGGCCAAGTCATTTCCATAGTAGAACCCTTGATCCAGCTGTGGTCTCAGACAATTGGGCGCCAGGGTGCTTGGCTCCAGCTGTGCCTGTGAAGCCTGCACCTCTGACAGGTGGTGGCTCAAGTCTCCACTCCAAGTCCCTTGGGGACAGTCTGCCAGGGTGTGAGCTAAAGGAGAAGGGGTTTCAGTAGGAACAATCTGAGTTTTCCCTTTGTTAAGCATGCCCAGAACACGCATCCCTGATGTCCCTGCTCTCAATAAAGCCACAGAGTGACCCAGGCCACACAGACAGACATCATGTAAATGCAGGCGATGTCACCTTTCCTGTCTGTGCCTGGGCACGCTGACACAGCAAATGCCCAGGCTGGGGTGTCCCTGAAGTGAAAAACCTCTGCTTTAGCCCAGAGGGCTTTGGATTGTCTAACAAGACCATCAAGATTATTCTGTTATTATTCATCTCCTTCCTGTGCCTGGAGGGAAAGTTCTAGAGAGCCCTCAGAGTGCAGGAGAGGAGGAGCTGTTTTTCTCCCCACACAGGGTTGTAAGAACAGGCCAAGAGTTAGAGCTGCGAGGGTTTGAGAAAGAACCACGAGAAAGGGGGCTGGGAGGCTACAGACCAAACACTAAGTGAGGCAAAATTTCTGGGTTCTGGGACATTTTGAATTTCCCATTGCCTATAATGGTTTGACACTCTACCCACACATATCCATCCTATTGCCATATAGTGGGTGTCAGCAGACAGAGTCAATGTAGGAGAGGGACCAGTCCCTTCCCGGAAATTCAGGGGCCACAAGAGCCACAGATCAGCATGTGCGGTTCCTTAGGAAGGTCACAGAGGACACGGTCCTCACATTACCCACTGGCCCAGTGGCGTTCGGGTGGCACCCCTTAAACAAATTCTTTCCATTTTCCCAGGGAGAGGAACACACATTCTGAGTGGACTAAGAAAAGACTTCCAGTGACCTCATGCCAGTCCAGGTCGGGTTCAGGATGGGGACTGGGTTTGCGGAGACGTGGTCTGCAGGGACAGAGCCTGCAGGGATGGGGCCTGCAGGGCGGGATCCAGGTGGCTGTGGGGCTCCTCTCTCTCCTCCCCTCTCCACATCCTCATTCTCTGCAAGGTTTTCTAAGTTTTCTTAAAAATGCCTCAGTGTCCTCAGCTCTAACATGGAGATGA